TGATTGTTCTGGAATCAACTGTGTCCCCCACAATCCACATGTTGAAGCCTTTACCCCCGAACCTCAGAGCAGGGCTGCATTTGGACGTGGGGTCTTTAAAGAGGGGATGAAGGAACATGAGGTCACCACAGTGAGGCTGTGGTCTGGTAAGACTGTTGTCCTGGTAAGGAGAGGAGGTCAGGACACAGACAGACACACACACAGGGACGACCCCCTGAGGACACAAGGAGAGGACAGCATCCACACGCCCAGGGGTGAGGTTCAGGAGGAGCAGCCCTGCCCACACCAGGACCTCAGATTCCAACCTCCAGGTACCTGGACATATAAAGGTGGCATGTACGCTGCCCTGAATGGGGTTCTTTTTAGGGCGGCCCTAGGCAACTAGAATTGGGATATTATTCTACATTGTTTCTCCAATTGCTCCATCAGCTCCGTCATTTGGCAGAGTTATCCTGCTTGCTAAATGTTGCAGTTGGATTTTAAATATGCCCCAAGGAAGATTTACAGCACTTGTTGCAAACACTCATGAGCCCACCATTCATCTTAAGGGGTAGGACGTATCGGTGTCCTCTAGGACATCCGTGCGGTGTTCGTGACTTTGCTGTGGCTCTGATTCTTTCTCTGCACAATGCCCTCCTCACCCACAAGATCAATTACCTCGTATTCATCCATGATTTATATATATTCACATATATTTTGTAAAATCTATATTCCTATATGTCCATATGAATACATATATGTATATGTTCATATGTCATATTCATGAATACATGAGTGTGGACATACATGAATATGAACACATGCAATTATCAGACTTTTCCCCTGTGCTTTAGAGCATACATGGAACAATCTTCTCATGATTTTCAAGCTTCTTGGTTCCAGAAACCGTTCCCATTACTAAAAATTATCAAGGACCCCAAAGAGCTTTTGTTTACGGGCATTATATCTGTGAATATTTATCACATGAGGGACTAAAAGTGAGAAGTTAAAAACACAGAAATTCATTTTAAAGTAATCAAAATAATCTACCTCTATGGAAAATCAATGTTCTTCTCAAAATAAAAAATAAATAGGGAGCCGAGCGGCATCGTTTGACATTTTTGCCAAAGTCTGGCTTAACTGAAGACAGCTGAAGTTGTGTATCAGATTTGGCATCGATCTGTTGTCAGTATGCTCTTTTGGTTAAAAAATATATGAAAAATATTGAGCCTCACACAGATGTGTAGTTGGAAGAGGTAGGCATGTTTTTACAGACTTTTTAGATCATATGGATATACTTCTTGAAGGCTACACTGAAGTTTGCTTGGTGGTGGTTTCTTGACTGTGACATCATATCAATCAAGCTTTCATGATCTGTCAGACTAAAACCCCATGGCTGTCCCTCACACTTTGAGGCATCTTTTACCCACATGTGACTCTATGGCCTCACACATCGGGCATTTGCAAAATACCTGTGGCAGAGTTTGAACATATTCCAGACACTGATATTTCGTCATAAGACATGGGGGGAAAAAAATCACATATACGATGATCAATCGTGCAGAGATCCTAAGTATTAGGAATCTATCAAGCTCACAGGAAGGGAAGAGAATGCAAATGGATTCAGGGAGTGAAGTCCCATTCATGGCAATTCAGATCCTACAAGCCTATAGTATCAGAGGAGCCTCAAAGAAGCCATCTTCCAGCTGTGGAAACAGGCACTGGGGTGAGGAAATGATGAAATAAAACACGATGGGAGGCAGAACCCTACCTGCCCCCCTGCAGTACACACACCTCCTCATCGCTCCACCAAGCTCTAATCTAGGCGCCTCTGGGAAGGATTTCATAGATGCAATAATTGTCCCAAATCAGTCGCCCTTAACAAAAGGTCTGGGTGGGCCTGACCTAATCAGGTGAGCCATTCAAAAAAAACGGGAGTCTAAGACATGCAAAGTCAGAGACATTCAGAACATGAAGGGTGTTCCATGCAAGGGGGATTCTCTATTGGCCTGTAGAAATTTGTGCTAGTGAATGCATGTTGTTTGGAGCTGCTAAGTTGTTTGGAGGCAGCAGTAGGAAATTATCTGAGCAGTTTTGCAAATGCTTTCTAGGAAGGACATTTGGGGCATTTGACCGGGATACGGAAGGAACCTGAAACAAGTGGATCGGAGCCTACTGGTTGTTAATGGAATTGTGTTTTTAAAGCAACAAGGAGTCCATGACTATATTCTGTTTCCAAAGTTGCATTAGCAGAAGGGGACAAAGAGGCCAGAAAGCCCCTAGGAAGCGTGACGTAATAATGTGGGCCCCAAGGATCCTTGATTTATAGAGAGCGGACTGCTGGTCTACCATTCTTTTCATTTATCCAAGGGAGGTGTATTTTTAGTGTCTGTATTTTCCTGGTTGCCTTTATTCATCAGAATCTGGGATGAAGATGACTCATCTTTGAGTTGACAGATCCCTGGACTATCATGAACCATGGCCTGGTCAGGGATGAAGACATGAAGGCTTGTGGGCCAATCTGGCCCTCCACCTGTTTGCATAAATAAACTTTTATTGGCACACAGCCACACCCACTTGTTTGCATTTTATGTGTGTGACTCATTTTGCACTGCAAAGGGAAACGGAGTCCTCGCCACAAAGATCTTGGGACTCACAAAGCTGAAAATGTTTGCTATCCATCCCTTCATGGAGGAACTTTGCCGACCCCTGGTCCAGACGCACTGCACAAGTTTTGGTCAAAAAGATATTTCCATGCATTTAAGTCATATTTTCTTGTATATGTACTCACATTTCTACAGAAAACAAGTCTCCCTGAAGGATAAAAATCATTGCTGTGTCCAATAACAGAAATGATACACAGAATTCTTCGATTCCATCCGTCTGTGCGGAATGTAAGGTTCCAGTCCATCAACAATGAACGCGAAAGATAAAACCCTGGGTGCGTGGATGTTTGTGACTCTCGTGTTTCCTCTCAGTATGAGAAAGGAATTAACAGTAAATTCCTCTTTATGGCCCATCACACCTTTATTAAACATGGACGTTTTTACGACTGGACACGAATCACACTCACTCACTACTTTGGCTTACAGCCATCACCAACGTCTTTCCCTAGAGCTAGAGCTCCAGGTAATTATCCCCTGATCTGTCTGAGGGAAATTGGAAGCACTCAGGAGTTGCCCTGATCCAATTACACCAACACAATAAAGCACAAAGCTCCAGAAAAAGCCTGAACGTAATTGTTCACACACCCGTTCGCCCCGACCCTTAGCTGAGCAGTGCTGCTGAGGACATAACCCTTGAAATAATTCAGCCAGTTGTGCTGGTGCCTCAGACGCTGAAGTGAGTTACCGATTATTTATGCTCAAAACTTACTTCTGGTTTTGTTTGAAAGTGTGTGTGTCTCATGGGAAAGGCGGTCTGGTATCAGTGCTTGATTCTGTGAGCTGTGGTGTTGCAAATAGTCTTTGGTTCTACGGGTGGGGAGCGCCATGCCCAGGTTCCCATGTGATTCCCCCTGCAGAAGACATTCTGTCTAGCATGCTGGCCCTGTCTTCTCTGGGCTTCTCCAGCCTCCAAAATGAGTGCATTTCCTCAAGTTTTTGAGGACTGCAGAACCCTCTTCCTTATTAAAGGACTGGGCTAATTCGGTGAGCCCAAAATGGACCACTTGTTGTAATTTGAATTCCTCTTATTTCCATCTGTTTTAAAAGAGAAGCACCATGCTGAGAAATCCCTGGCGGCAGCCCTGAGACCTTGCCGGACGACTGACATTTACTCAGGCTTCTCTGGGTCGTCCCGGCTGTTTTAGAACAGGAACACACATCCTCTTGTGCGTTGAGATGCATCGTTTCCAGAGTTTGTGTGTGTCTGGGCTTCCCTACCACACACACACTCCACGTGCACGTGTGACTCACACTGGGCACACATGACAGAGTGCACGTATGCATGTATACCACATATGCCATATGCACACACCCTCACGCACACAACAGATCACGTACACATGCATACGTATCACCACACTTGTATATACACACACTCATGCACATGACAGATCTCTCTCACACTCACACACACATACACCATGCGCATACATGTGCACTTCACACACACGTGGCCCATATTCTTGAACCCACACACACACCCAAACGTGCTTCCTATAACTCACATGTGAGAAGCCAGAACATTTGACAACAGACTTTGAAGATAAAAAGTAATTTATACCTTGTACGTAAAAAATGTTTGAGGAAGCATTTAGCCATTTTCATCCAAAAACTCACCATTTTCCCCCCTTAGGAAACACCAGCAAAAGATCCCCAAAGACCTTAGACTATGTCTGGATGGAAGAATTATAATCACTATGCAGTTTGAATCAATCCCACATTCTCTTGTTCACTGTCGCATCTCCCTGGTTGGACTGCTCAACGGGTGACGTCAAGTGTGAATTCATGAAGACATTAAGACACCACCAGCCTTCATTTTTACCTTTGCGGACGTACAGAGAGGCAGAAAACTACTGAAACAACCATATCCCTAAAAATGCAGTAAAAAAAAAAAAAAATGAAACTTTTAATAGAATCCCACATTAGTGCTGCCGTCGAGAAAATACTTTTGACTTTTGTGACCCACCAACTCCTGGGGTTGCAGACATGTCCCCGTGGCTAGATAGGTGGCACCAGGTTTGTAGGGAACAGATCCGCAAAGGTGTAGCCCACAATCCAGGGAGCACAAATAATAGGACAAGTCTCCTTTCTTGAATCATTTTTTTATCTTGAAAACTCCCACTGGAAAGTTGCAGAAAAGAATTTGGTACAGGAAAATCCATGCTACGTGTTCTGAAAATAATCCCCCCATCTCCGTGGGGGTAGGATACTAAGTGTCTGTCTAGCTCCCTAAGCCCAGTGGGGTATTGCCCGATGGATGGCTCTCTCAGGCACTTTGCTGGGGTGTTCAGCCCCCCACAGTGGCCGCTCATAGTCTGACCTAATACTCACTCTCCCTTCATCCTTTACTGCGAGGTACCAGAGCTGTCCTGTGGGACCAATACGGCAAAACTAAGATACCTCAATCCCTGGAGCCCGTGATAAAAGACATCTCAACTTTTATTTTTGTTCTTTTTCTCTCCTAAACCGCCCACTCTGGGGAAAGCCAGCTGCCACCTGGTCACAGCGATTTCAGATGGCATCAACCTCGTCCAACTAGGACGAGATCATTCATATTTGTTCTTCGAAGCCTCTAAACTTTGGGGGTAACGGGGGACGAATGCATCCTTCACGGAGTGACTCGGGGCAGCCACTCGTTCCATGTTGAGACACCACCATCTGTGGCCTTTATTGTTGCCACAGGAGGGGCAGAAAGGGGCAGGTCCAGCCTGTTTAACACCTCAGACGCATCCTTGTATAAATCCTATTCTTCAGTGAGACAACAGTGTTTTCCACGGTCCGAAAATGGAAGGGATCATAAGAATGCCAGAAAAGAAACATAGACAGCAAGGATTTTCATGGACAAACTCTGGTGCATGTATTTGTAGCAACAATAATAATAGAAATAAATATTACAGGATGAAATGAGGGGACATTCATAGACAAATACTTTCTAAAACATCAATAATTTCTTTTGAGGAAGACAACAAAATCACGAAATGCTTGCAGGGGTTTAAAGATTGATGTGCATCTAACCTCTGTTACTTTTAAGTTATGAATCTCTTGTTCATTTCTACTCTCTCAGCCCAGAAATGTTTAGAAGCACAGAAAATAGGGTCAGAAGGTACCCAAAGCATGCTCAAATGATTCTGAATGGTTATGAAATTGGATGAATTTTGGAGAGGACTGCTTTATCAGCAGTATTGTTAAGAATCTACTGTGCGTGGTGAATCATTTAAAACACACCCACTTTTGCTTACTTTTAATATTGTGTTTAAATTTCCAACAGATACGTATCCCGTTCTTTCTTGTTGGTAGAACAGATTTCTCCCATTGTCCGCACATGGCATGGCACTGTTGAGAGAGATCTGTTTACTGGGCAGGTCTTCTACCCAAATCCCATCGTCCATGGTCCCACCTACAGGGGTATGTATGCATGTCCAGGGGACTGCGTGATCTTCGTATGTCCATAATGCTCATTTCTGTGAGCATTCCCCAAATTCCTGTTCATCTTGTCCCTTTTATCTCTACATGATTTCATGGTTTGATTGACAAGCTTTCTTTTCAAGTTATATGCATATAGCCCCACCTTCTTTTATTAAAAAAAGCAATGGCTTTTAATGGCTTAAAACATTTTTGAGCCTCTATTTTAGTAGATCAATGCAGAATCTAATTCTTGTTCTAAGCTGTAGGTCTAAAAATGATTGTGGGACCATATGTTCGCTGATGTTGGTGACTTATGTTATTAAACCTTTCCTGAAAGGTTCACTATAAAAGCTGAAATACATTCTTAGCTTTTAATAGTCAGGTAGATTTTAAGGAAAAATATATATGAACGTACAAAGGAGGCATTTTTTGTATTCATTTTGGACTCCTGTCAATAAAGGTTGACTCAAAAAAAAAATCACAGAAGTTCCAAATATTACATTGGGTTGGGATTCAGAGTTAATGCCTCAGGCAAACATTATACACCTGCTATTTATTGGGTTCTGTGTGTTGCTAGAATCGTCAGAATAAATTTCCTATTTTTAGGAACTCAAAGGTCTTGTCCCTCCTCCAAGATTCAGATTCACCTTCCCCCGTGCATTTAATAATCTGGATGACCCTGAATTCTGCAGAAAGCCTTCAGGTTCATGAAATGTATTTACTGTTTCGAGACCATCTTGCGTATGAAAAAGTAAAGGTCACCCTACACATTTTATATGTCTGCACCCCATTAAATGACATCATCAGAAGCGTGCATAAAGGATTGCTTCAGAAAATTTAAACGTCACAGTTTGCACGCCCCTGTGGCCTCCCCCAGCTCGGGTGAGTAAAGACCAGATCCCAGTTTCAGGAACGCTGCTCTGGCGTTAGCATCCTTTCGGGTGAGGGAGAGACCAGAGAAACTCAGCTGAAATGCAGAAAGCAAACACTGAATTCCTGATTTATCTTTTTCTCCACAAACTAACTTATTTTCCCCACACTGACCCCAGACAAGCTGCATTTTCTACAGCAGACTATGTGTCATAAATAAGTCACACACTTGGGTTGGTGTGTTAGTAAATTTTCTACCAGAAATACAGACATTTTAAATTCCATGGTGTTTTACGGGCAAAAACTTTCTGACGTTTTTACGGCCTTCAGATCATATTTCTTAAGTTTCTTCGTACATTGGCATGACCACGGCTGCTGCCGATATTCACGGAGTGCATGCAGTATGTCAGCCCAGCTTCTGTGACATTTTAACACAAGAAATTACCTCTGGATTTGTTCCGACTTTCTCTACATTATTATTTTTTTTTCCCCTTCAAGCAAACCATCTATTTATCCACTGGACAATATTCCAGTAACTAAACGTGAAATTGTATTCGCATGATACATTTTCAAGCAATAAAGTTGCTGATTTATTTGTTTAATGAGTTGGAATTTTGTTGCATGTTGTTTCTTTCAGGGGAAGTGAAAAGATTACATTTTGTTAACTAAAACATCAACATACTATAAACAAGCTGGAAGACTAGGGAATGAGTCATAACATGTAGGGAATTACATTTCTGACCAAGTTGTCCAAGTTTTATTTCTCCTGCGTTACCCTCTCTGCTTGATGCACCGTGCTGTTTGTTTGGTTGTGACTCATTTGAGAGAATTCTGGGGACGCGGCTGTGTACCTCAGGGTCATCCATGTGTCTCCATCTGATTTCCTGGGCCATTTTCACCGCAGAGAAAGGAAGAAGGCATGGCCCCTCCAGGAACTTGGCATTCCCATTAGCAATCCTCAGCCACTTCGAAGTTTCGTTAATTATTCACAAGCATCCTGATTCCTGCCACCCTGAAACCAGCTTTTGTGGCTCGTTGAGATGTGTCCCACTGAATGCAAAAGGCCCATTCTTATTGTTCCTGTTGCCTTGGGATTATATATTTGGATTTCCTACATTTTGCAAATCAAGCTTCACACCATCCCTCATGCCAGCATCCCTCACGCCAGGTGCCTGGGGGGTTCAGTTCTTGGTTCAGACCTCTCTCCCCGGCTGGCAGATGACCCCCTCTGTGCTGTGTCCTCACCTGGTAGAGAGAAAGGCAAACCTTTGGTGTCTTTCCATTCTGTTATAATATCCTTAATTCCATTATCCCCTCCCCAAATCCCCACCTCCAAACACCTTCCACTAGAGTTAGGACTTCAACCTTTGAGCTTTGTTCTTGCTGGGGGGGGGGGTATGCAAGCTTCAGTTCATAACAGAATGCAATGTTTTTATATCTTACTACATACCCCCTAGGCAATCTAAAGGGAAGAAAAAAGGTGGAACAAGCCCATTAATTCCATCCACAATTGGGATACTTTGCACAAGACAACGTAACGTTAAGTGAGGAGAGTAGGACGTAACGCCATTCATACCACAAGAAACACGTATTTCCAAACACGTATCTCCTAAAAGCAGAAGACCGTTCAGCGAACTATTAACAGCATTTGTCCCTTGGCTGTGAGGTTGTGAGCAATGTTTCTTTAAAACAATGTTTGTAGCAGCTTTACTGAGATACAATGCATGCACCCCACCACCCACGCGTTCCGTGGTTTTCTGCACAGTTGCTAAGCGTTGCATCATGATCACCAGTCCGTGTGGAACATTCCATCACCCCCAGAAGAAACGCTTTTCGTTATTCCCCATTTCCCCCCAGCCCACCCAGCCCCTAGCAACCACCAATCTATTTCCTGTCTCAATGGTTTCACCTAATCTGGACCTTAGTATATTCTTTGGTTTTCCATGTGTTGTATAAGGTGAACATATTCCTCTGGCAGGAATTGAAACAAACACTGAAAGTGACTTCCTAATAAAAGGAAATAGGCATGAAGGAAGAGCCTAAAGTCACTGACCTGAGAACATACGAGCATCACGATTCCAAAACAAGGAACCAAGTCCCCCATTGGCCTGTGTGACCCCCGCTGCCTCACACTCACCTTTCCCTCCTTCAGTCTCTCATTCTTAGGTGCTTGCACCTTCTGAGCAAAGCTGACAGTTTTCGTTTTAAGTCAAAAGAGGCGGATCCTTCCAGAACTCTCAGCCCTGCGTGTAATACATGCCCCGTGAGCTGCCCCTTAGCAAGGCTCCCACAGGCATTTCGTGGAAAACCGGATCAACCGTCCTTGGCACACCTGTACAAACACCACCAATTGGAAAGATAGAGATTCACAAACACTGTTCCTTTGCTGAGAGGGTAAATATTGACCCCATGGCTTGTGGTCTCTTCAGCTGGGAACTAAAGTCTAGTGTGGGACCCCTTACAAAAGGGCATGCCAGTATGTAATAGAATACAATGTAATGTAATGTAATATATATAACAGCACAACATATAGTATAACAGAACACAGTATACAATATAACAACACAATAGATAATATAATACAAACATAATATAACAATATATAACACAATATAATAATATATAATACAATACAATATATAACATAATATAATATAATACATAGTGTATAATAACAGGACATATCAATACAATACATTATGTAATTTAATACAGTATCACAACACAATATAATACAAGACAACAGGGCATCATATATTAATGTACAACATAATATCATATCATATGACATAATAATGGCAAATCTTGGTCATCAGTGAAGACTTATCCAGCTGATGAATAATGTCAGGTTCCAGGCTGTGGGAATTTTCAGAGTAGAACTGTAAGGGGAGTAATGAAATCGTCCCAATGATAAAAAAACAGAACATGAGCTCGTTTCCATAAGGTATGTATTGGTAGATGTTTGTCTGGCAAATCGCTGAAAACACATATGAAAGAGCCCTCTGTATGCTATGTTTGCAACACCTTCAAAATCTATAAAGACTTCAACGTGAAAATCTAAAATGCTGAAAAGGGGTGCAAGGAAAGCGGCTCCCGTGGTGCACACTTAGTGCGACATGACAGAACCGTGACCACGTGTCACTAGGCTGCAAGGAGCTTTGGGGATGCTGCAATCGAGGCGAGGAAAGTAAGACCCGAAAGACTCGGTTGTTGGTTTTAAATTTTAAGGTCACATAATCAATAAAAAAAAAAAGAATCAGTTTGTCACATTTGAGGCCCAAGGGCCTAAATGCCCAACCACAAAGGAAGGCTGGCATTTCTCAGATGTTTGGGCAACTTAGAGTCTGAGACCCTGATGAATGTTTTTACTGGAGGTCAGGAGCCTGTAGAATCCATGCCAAGTCGGGGAGGTGGGGGAGTGGGGTGCCGTGTTACTGAAAACCCATCCTTGTTCCCATAGTCAAATCATGAAATGCAGTGACTAGGTTTTGAGGAAAGAAAAGGAGAGTTTATGAATCTGCCAGCTAATGAGAGAGGGCCAAGCTTGTGCCTTAAAAGGAACCAGCGTCCCCTCAAAGCACCAGGAGTTAGGGCTTTTGAAGGGGAAATGGTGGGAGCGAGGCTGTGGGTTCACAGACATAAACGAGCCACTTGCAAGGATCTAAGCACACGTTCTTGCCCCTGTATTCAAATGCTTTTTGTTTTTCTTACCAGCTCGTCCTCAGTGCCCCAGGACGGGATGGCTTGGGTTCTGCAAAATTAGCTTTCTGCATTACCTCTGACCCTTAGACTCGGAAAATTGGGACAACAAAGAGAAGCGGCCACCTGTTAATGGTTATAAGGTTTTGGGAGCTACTTGAGTTCATCTTCCAGTTAATGCTGCAATTGAATTTTAAACCAGGGATTTAATTTTCCTCTTTTATAGAAGCAGTCAAATGGATCAGGCAAATGGCATGGGGCCTATAGAGAAAACAGAGTTGTGGGCACAAAGATTAAGTGAAAAAATGGTGTTTTCAGGAAAGGATAAATATCCCTCCTTACTCAGGACGGCTGGCCCTGAAACATAGTCCCAAAGACGTTTAGAAGCAGATGAATCTAAGCAATAAAGGGTTCAGGGAAATGAACCCGCTAATAGATCAGCGGGGAAGGCCAGGAGGCGATGGGAAACCCTAACCAACAATATCCTGCATTACACGACGCTCGTAGCTAACGCTGGAAGGTAAACTTGCCATTTTTAAAAAAACACATCGTAATGTGATTTTTCTCCTCGTAGACACTCTCCAGTTGCCACCACGGTAATGTTTCTCAATTTGCATCTGTTTATACGGCCCCAAGCCCCTCAAACGGGCTCTATTCCAAGAGTAAACACGCTCCACCAAAGGCTATTAAAAATCTGTGGTCGCCAAGGCTGGGTTAGCCTAAGTGCTTTATAAACATCCTGCTTGAAAGGAGAAGCGTTTGGCTCAGAATGCCTCCCATCCACCCGGTACGGGGAGAATTTGATCTGCGATGTGACTTACCATTTTCCCAGGAACAGAGCCGATGCTGAAAATATTTAAAGATGTGCAAATGGGTTCCCCCTAAAGAAACTCCCCTCTCGCAGGTGATGCGGAAAGATTCATAGCAGATCGAAACCAAACCAGACCCAACTTTACACATGACCACAGAGCCTGGGGTTCAAGAGCAAACAATGTGTGGGTCTCAAAGCCCATCGTGTATTCCAGAGTTATCAGAAAACAGTCTCTTGTTGGCTTTCCCTTAATGCAACAGACAGCACGCTCATCCTGAATTAGCAACCGGCCTCCTCCCGTGCAAAACTGGGAAACCCCTAAGAGATGGTCAAATCCTCTCAAATCTCCAGCATATAATGTGATCATTGCTCATCACATGCACATGTGATAAAACCACGTGCTTCCCTCCACCAAGAAGTGTTTCAACGAAGGGCTGTTACTTTCCCCTGTTGGTGCTGTGAGCTCATTTGAACAGAAGCCTATTTGCAGATATCCTTTCGTTCCCAGAAATCCTCCCGCGTTGAGGGCTTATAATGCACAAATGCAACGAATCCCAAAACTCCGGGAGGCGGGTGCGCGCGTGCTAGAAACACACCACCATAGCTCCACGTCTCAAATTAATTTTTCCTGACTCAGTAACTCTTCCATTAGTATTGTGTTAATTCAATAACTCTTGAGTTACTTTTCGTTTGAATCACCTTCCAGACAGCGCCCTCAGAAGCCAGGGTTTGGAGACAGAATTTTTTCTGATTGTCCTTTTGCGTATTAAGCAGGAAGCAGAGTGGGCTGATCCATACGTTTCTTGTTTAATTTTTTTAACGTTAAAATTGTTTTTAAAATCTGACTTTCAAATTTGAGATCGTTTTCGATTCATGGGCGGATGTAAGGAAAAACACAGACAGACTCCGCGTGCCAGTTGCACTTTCCCCCTTTTATCAACATCTTGCAAAACGATGGTATAAAATCATACCCAGGATATTGGCTGTTCCCATGCAACACCATGGGGACCCACTATGTTGCCCTTTT